CTCACCAGGCCGGCCCCGGCGGTAGGTGAGGTGCAGGCACCGCAGCCCACAGACGATCTCCCTGTTCACCTGCGGGCAGAGGGCAGGGGTGCCATGGGTGCTGCCCCACGGCTTGGTGCCAACCACCCTGGGGACCCCTGGCCTTAAGTGTGCGGGGGTACCCACTATTAAAAACCCATCCTGACGTCCCCCCGCCTCCCCAGGATCCAGCTTCTTGGGCAGGACTGGGCACTGAGCAGCATCAAGGGTGGCAGGGGCATCCGAGAGGGGCAGGGACCCTGAGATGGCAGGGACACGGGGGGGCAGGGACCCCCAGAGACCCCTTATAAAGGCAGGAAAGGCAGGGACCCAGCGTGGCTGGGACTCCTGAGAGGGGCAGGGGCCCTCAAGAGGGTCAAGAACCCCAGTGGCAGGGACCCCGGGGTGGCAGTGATGTTGGGGACAGCAAGGATTCCCAGGATTGGTGGGACCCAGGAGGGCAGGGACCCCAGGGTGGGCAGGGACCCCCAGAAGGGCATTGACCCTGGAGTTGAGGGGTGGAAGGCAGACACCCCAAAAGCAGCAGGGACCCCAGGGGTGGCATGGGTCACTGACATCTCATGGGTGGCAGGAGGGACCCTGTGGAGCAGGGAACAGATGACAAAAGGGCCCCATGAGGAGCAGGGACCCCATGGGACAGGGACCCCCGGGTGTGAGGGCAAGGACCCAGGGCAGCAGGGACCCCAGGGCAGAGCCTCCTGCCAGCCAGCGGGCTCAGGGCATCATGCATCCACCTCACCCTCACCTTGAAGGACACCTTCACCCTGTAGTCCACCCCCTCCTTCAGCACAAAGGCCCGGCTCCGCAGCATCTCCAGGTCTCCTGTGTGGGGAGATGGCCCATGAGCTTCGCACCACTTCCCCTTCCTCCTCCTCTTCCTCCTCCCATGGATGCCCCCACTTCTCACCTGTCAGGTCCATGGTAATGGGCCCCGGTGCCTGCTCGCACATCAGGGTGAGCCTCGTCACCTGCACGTTGGGCACGCTGGCATCTAGGGAAAGAGCAGCAGGACACAGACCTCACCCACCCACCCACAGCCCACCAGCACCCAGGGGCTGCCCAGGCCCCCCCAGAATGGAATGAAGGACCACAGTGCCCGTGGTGGGGCTGTTAGGAGCTGGTGAGTGCTGGGCAGCCCAGCCAGGGTGCAGGAGACGGGGGGCATCTCCAACCTTGGCATCAACTCCTTTGGGGTAAGATCAGGTTTAAAAGGGCCCAGCCACCAGTATCTCCTGGGGTGTGATGCTCCCTGGAGTGGGAGCAGAGCAAAGTGGGGGGCTGGGGGGGAGGTAGGGATCCCTCAAGGTGGGTGCTGGCCTAATTGCACCTCAACAGCCCAACCCCGGGGTGTGATGCTCCCTGGAGCGGGAGCAGAGCAAAGTGGGGGGCTGGGGGGAGGAAGGCATCCCTTGAGGTGGGTGCTGGCCTAATTGCACCTCAACAGCCCAACCTGCACCCCATCAGCAGCTTGCACACCCCCCCCAGCCCACCTGCAGCCCCCCAGCCTGCGCACACGCCATCATGCACCCCACTGATCTGTACCCCACTGATTTGCACCGT